TTTTATTTTTTTTATTTTGCTAGCACAGAGAAGAGACATTTGGTCTACGGAATATAAAAGCCAGGCATCTATCTTACCTGTACTGTCTCCACTGTGTAGATTTTCTTCAAGTTCGACTCACACTCAGCTGCTGTTGTTCCTGGCAGAGATCTTTCCAAGAAAAACAAATGAAAGGCCTATAAGTATAATTAATTTTAACTGACTTTTTTGCCTGCTACATTAATCAGTTGTGCCATTGCTGCCCTCTGTGCTGACAAATTGGAGCAGCAGTTGGCTGGGACGGAATCAGATGACAAAACAAGCCAGTAAACAGTAAACAAGACTGACCCAATTTGAGAAAAGCCCCCCCTCCCTCCTTTTTACAGTTATGCAAATTATAATGTTATATTACATAATTAATGTCATTGTTATGATTACAGAACATTATAAAAACAGGGATATGAATTTGATATTTTTGTTATTGGACAATAAAAATGTGACCCACAAAGCCTGATTTGTGAAAAAATTAACAGAACAACATAGAAACCAGCAGTGACTCAGCAGGCTGCGCCTAATATAGTCCTTATGAAAGCACACACCAGCCTATTTAATACTTTGGTCTCCCATAAGTCATGTCATAATCAGGGCCATTGTGCAAACCAGAAAAACAATACATAATTACAACACAAATATTACTCTTTGGTGCTGATATTATTTTGTTTGACATATATTTTTTTTATTTGTTCATTAAAACAACTAAAAACAACAACTTTCTTTTTCTTTTCTTTGAAACCCTATAATAAGTTGAAAAAAAAGTTTATCCTATTTTTCCTTTGCAGGGTCCATCAACTCCAGGGTTTCCTCACTTGCCACAGATAACTTTCATTAAAGTGGAAAAACAAAACACAAAACCCCCCAAAAACAAACAAACAAACAGCAGAACCCCTTTCTTACCTATCGAGCCAAAAAGTCCAGGGTGAATGTAAAGGAAGTATATCATTTTCCCGGTTATGTGGAATCCTTCCTAAATTTTTCTCCTTGATATGAATGTTTTTCTCCAGACTAGGTGGTGAGCTCAGTTGCAATGCAGCCAATGGCGCTGCCATAATTACTAATTATGAAAACAAATTCACTTTATTGTAGAGAACGATCACAGAGCATTATTCCTACGCAAACTGTCCTTCGGTCTCATGGTTGCTTGTATATATAGATTCCCTGGGTATATTTATCTCAGACGAGCTGATGAGTCATTGGT